GAGTTAATCAGAGACTTGATACAAGCCACTCTGGAAGCTGGGTTTAATGAATTAAAAACAAACAACCAACCCACTATACTCCACATGTAGTTCCCATAAAACACAGCACAGCCCCAGGCTTGGCTGTAGCCATCTGAGTTTTCAGTCAAATGCAACTTCCAGGGCACTCCAGGAGGTATGCAGCGTGTCTGATAACAAGACTGGATGCTATTGCCACTCAGGCAACCTGCCAAAGAATTAATTCCAGCCACTGAAAGGGGTGGGGAGGGTTAACCCCACAGAGGGGATTTAAACATTTTTCTTTTAGAGAGGGAGGAAGGAAGGAAGGAAGGAAAGCAGAAGCATGAAAGAACAAGAAGGCAGGCAGGGGAAGGAAGGAAAGAAGGAAGAGCGGGCAGAGTAGCTGGGCAGGCAGCTGCTACAGCCCCCTTGGAGCCTGCCCTGAAGGCTGCAGCAGCGCGGTGCCCCACCCGGCCGGCGCCACAAGGGAGGTGAAGGCGGAGCCATGGAAGTACAGCGGGGAGCTGAGCTCCGGGGCTGTCATCCCCCAGCTGCAGCTCCGCATGGCCCAGCTCCGAGCTGAAGGGAAGGAGCAGCCGGCCACAGCGCCTGGGCCCGGCCAGCACCAGAGGCCCCCATCCTATGGTGCTCCGGCCTGCGCAGCAGGGGCAGTGGCTAGGAGAAAGGCTTTAAGGGCAGGTCGGGGTGCTGTGACTGGGGCGGATGCAGGAGGGGTCCTCACTTTGCATGTGCAGCCCACCACATTAGCAACCCCCTGAGCACTCCTCAGGGTGACAGCTCCCAAGACACCAATGCAAGGGGCAGCATCACAACTCCAGTTCCAGCCCTGAACTTGCCCAAGTTTGCTCACGTGCTTTTCTGTTCTGTTCCTGACATGCGCTGCATCACCCCCGCCTGCATGAAAGTGCCACTTAGCTGGACCGAGACACGACAGAGGAGCCTGACAAGTAATCGGAAATGTAGATGCAGTCCGGGTTGGCGATTCTGCACCCTTTCCCATACCGCTGGCAAACCCAAAGCCTCCACAATTTGATTCGTGCTCATAAGAAACGTCACTGAAATCAGCCACAACTCTATATCACTTAGCAGTGAGTTAATCCGAGACTTGGTACACAATAAAAAGAGAACCACCCTGGAGACCGGGGTTTAATGAATTAAAAACAAACCAGACCCACCATACACCACAGGTATAAACATAAAACACAGCACCGCCCCAGACTTGGCTGCAGCCCTCTGAGTTTTCAGTCGTATGCAACTTCCAGGGCACCCCCGCGGGCTGATAACAAGACGGGATGCTACTGCCACCCAGGCAACCAGCCAAGGAAGTCATCGCAGCCACTGACCTGGAGGCGAGATGTTGCAAAGCTCCGGGATGATTTAAACATTTCCCTTTTGGAGAGGGAGGGAGGAAGGAAGGGAAGCAGAAGAAAAAAGAAAAGCCAGGCAGGCAGGAAGAGCAAGGAGCCGCTGCAAGCCCTCAGAGCCCGCCCCAAAGCTGCGAGGCCCGAGCGCGGCTGCCCCAAGGCTGCAGCGGTGCTGGCCCGCCCGGCGCCGCGACTCACGTGCAGGGAGTGGACGGCGGAGCCGTAGAAATGCAGCGGGGCGCTGAGCTCCAGGACCGGGGAGCTCACGTCGTCCCCGGCCTCCAGCTCCGCATCGCCGCCCTCAGCCCCGAAGGGCAGGAGCAGCGGGCCACAGCGCCCAGGCCCGGCCAGCGCCAGCAGCGCCAGCAACCCCCAGCCCCAGCCCATGGTGCTGCGCCTTGCACCGCGCTTGTGGGGGCAGCAGCGCCGAGCCAGGCTTTAAGGGCAGGCGGGGCGAGCGGCGGGGGGCAGCGCGCAGCCAATGAGCGCCCGGCGCCAGGGATGCGGGGGGCTGAGCAACGTCACCCTCCCCCTCCCCTCAGCCTGCCCCGGGGGTCGGAGGCGCGCTGCCCCCGCTCGGGGCTGGCCAGGCCGCGTTGAGCGAGAAGCAACAGGCGGGTGGAGGGAAAGCCTTTGGATGGGGCAAGGAGTAATGGAGAAGTCGGGCTGGAAGGGACCCCCAGAGACATGTAATCCCACCCCGTGCCTGAGGCAGGATCAGCCCCATGCAGACCATCCCCTGCAAAGCAGGCCCTTCTTTGCAGCTGCCTCAACATTGTGTTGGGAGCGGAGGGCTCCTGCAAGAGGCGCCTCACACCAGGGATTCTCAGCCTGGGGCTGCAGCACCCTGGGGTGCTGTGAGAGGGGCAGAGGCAGGTGGGGTCCTTGCTTTGCATGTGCAGGGCGCCACATTAGCAGCCCCATGAGCAGTCATCGGGGTAGAGCTCCCAAGACACCAGTGCAAGGAGCAGCATCACAACTCCAGTTACAGCCCTGAATAACTTGCCAATGTTTGGTTAGGTGCTTTACTGTCCTGTTCCTCACACAGACACACTCGCTTCCTCACCCTCCAGCAGGGCAGCCCTGCAGGCAGCTGCTACAAATGCCCTCTCCTCATCCCACCAGAGGGCTGTTGGACAGAGGAACCCAGCAGCTGACAGCTGGGTGCCATGCTCCAAGCTGAAGGGCAGCAACAGCTGCCCACAGGCCGGATAAGTGTTGGGTGCCAAGAGGCTGGAACCAAAGCTTTGAGTTAGAGCAGGTGTGAGCAACCACAGCCACTGAGTGCCAGAACTGGCGGGGTGAAGAGGACAACAGTTACCAGGGTCAGCTCATGAGACAGCTGTAACAAGCACAAAGGAAAGAAAGAATCAAGAAAGAAGGACAACAGAAAGAGAATGAATGAAACAGGAGGCAGGCAGGCTACTGAACAAAAGCAGGAAAGAAGAAAGAAAGGAAAAACAGAAAATAAGAATAAAGGGACGGAAGAAGGAAGACCAGGCAGGGCAGGCAGCCACTGCAGACACCTCTGAGTCCAACCCAAGCGCTGCTGCCTGGAGCTTGCAGACAGAGAAGGTTGCCGGCACCTTGCAGCTGGGACAGCGCAGTGCCCCCAGCCTAGCCGCCACTGCACACTCCTTGGGGGAGGCGATGGCAGAGCTGTAGAAGTGCAGCAGGGCCTTGCATCATCCCTGGGCCCCCAGCTGCACGTTGCCACGCTCCACATTGAGAGGGCAACAGCAGTGGGCAGCAGCACCCAGGCCCAGCCAGCACCAGCAGCACCAGCAGCCCCCAGCAGCAGGGGCAGCAGCACCAAGCCAGGCTTTAAGGTCAAGTGCGGCAGGCATCCTGGGGTGCAGCGTGTAGCCAATGAGCGCCCAGCGCCAGGGACTCTAGTTGGCCTGAGGCTGCATCTGCCCAGCCCTGCTCACATTATCCTGCCTCAGGGGCCACCTGGGCACCCTGGGGGCTGGCTCTGTGTTATCTCCCTGCTCAGGCCCAGCCAAGCTGCTTCAAGGCGGCCAGTGAGGGGTATAGTAGGGAAACTCACTGGGTGGGGGAAGGAGTCATGGAGAAATGGGACTGGAAGTCACCTCTGGAGGCATCTAGTTTTACCCCCTGCCTGAGGCAGGATCAGCCCCATCCAAAGCACCCCTACATACCAGGCCCCTCTTCTTTGCAGCTGCCTCAGAGCCATGGTGGGAGCAGAGGGCTCCTGTAAGAGGCACCTCAGACCAGGGATTCTCAGCCTGGGGCTGCAGCACCCCAGGGTGCTGTGAGCAGGGTGGATCCAGGTGCAGTCCTTTGATTCAAAAGACCCCCTCTTTGATTCCTGCTTTACCCAAAGTTCAAGCCCAACTGCCTGGCAGCAGCAGCAGCAGCAGCAGCAGCAGCAGCAGCATTTCTCCTCAGGCAGTGCTGATGGACTCACTCCACTTCATGGCTCATTATTGTCTAGCCAGTTCCACCTCAACTCTTCATTCCCGGGGTGTTAACAACCCTCTCTACCTTGGCATGGTCTTGATGTTCCAGTAGCCCAACTAGACTGTTCCTCCACACTACTGTCTGCTCGCTGCTCCTTGTCAGGCAGCTCTTATTTCACAGTCCTGCAGCTTTTGTTTTTCACTAGTTCCAATGACATTGTTTTTGTCTCTGCTTCCATCTCAAACTGAACAACACAGCCTTCGGTCCCTAGCTTGTTAATAAAGCCCTCAGTTTCCCTTTAACTGGAGAAAAGTGTGGGTTGTGTAGTAGGTGAGGATGCACCTCTCCCTCTGCACCCCACTTTTCAAAATCCTAGATCTGTCCAGGGCTGTGAGATCTTATTAAGGGTGATGCACAATATGAATGCTGTCAGGTATGCAAACACCTGTGCACCCAGAGATTTCAAATGTGAACCCATAGTGTCAAAGCCCTGCTGACTGCTGTGGTCTTTTTGAGTGCTTTGCAGCAGAATTGCTCTGTTATTTTGCTGCAGGCCAAATACAAGTGAAAACCAAGGGCTGGCATTTTCTGAGGGGTGCTTTGGCATGCCCCAAATCTAAACAGGTTGAGAACCCCTGCCTTAAATTATGTGAGGTGGTGATCTGTGTTTCTACTAATGAGGACTCATAATATTTTTTTCTTAGCGTGAGTCATAAGCCACTCGAACTAAGGAAACTGAAATGCTGATTCAGTTTATTACTTCCTCAGTGGGACTAAAATGCCAGAGTCCCTTTGCGATTCTAGCACCAACTTGCTCTGCATGTGTAGGGCACCAGACTAGCAGCCCCCTGAGCACTTACGAGGGTGAGAGCTCCCAAGACACCAATGTGAGAGCCAGGATCTGAGCTCTGCTTACAGCCCCAGATTTACCAAAGTTTGCTCAGATGCTTTTCTGTTCTGTTTCTGACACCCCCCACCCTGCCTTTCCAAGGACAGATATTATACATAAACTGGTTTAAGTGATCAGAAACTAACTTAAAACTGCAACAGAACATACATTCAGTGCACATAAACCAGTTTGAAAATGGCTGAAACTGGTTTGAGATAAACCTGGTTGAATGTACTATCAGACTTAACTGATTTAGCTCAAGCTGGTTTATGCAATGTCTGTCCCAGACCCCTTCCTAGTTTGAGTTAAATCAGAGACCCCCAGCATCCCAGCATGCTCTCTGGGCAGGGCTCTCTGCTCCAGCCCAGCCCAGCCAGGCTGGCCCCGCTCCTCTGCTCCACGGCCCAAGCAGGGACCGGGAGGAATGGGGGGGTCTGGCCAGAGAGGGGTTTAATTCCGCCCCCACTATGCCACCAGCAGAGACCCAAGCCGGGTCTGCCCACATCCCCACCTTGCTGCTGTAGCAGGGGGGCACCATGGCCCCTGAGGGAGAGGGGGACAGGGTGCAGAATTAGTTTTCCCTGTACCCCGCTGGCAGCCGGGTGGCCCCCTGCCCCTCCAGCGGAGGCCGAATGAATAACCCTGTCCCTGCCCCCCCACCCCCACCCC